GCAATGGCTAAAGTCTTCTGCATTGACTCTTTTAAAGACATGGTATATACTGATTTGTGGAATAGAGATAGCTTATTGATAGCAAGGGACAGAGGGTCCAACCCTCTGCCTCTCAGTAGCCACACATCTTTATTAGTTCACTTCAGTTACCTGTAAAACGGTATTGGACATGTCTACTTCATAGGCATGTTGTGGAAATCAAATGAGATTCCCAAGCAGAGGCTAAAAAGAAAAAGAAATGTCTACAAAAAGAATCTAAAAAAGGATACTCTCTTGACCAACAGCTAAAACTATCTCCAGAATATCAAATCAGCAAATTTAGTCAAAATTCCAGTAAAATTGTGTGAGGGCCCAGTAGATACTAAAGAACTAAAGAGGTTTTCCACTTTTACTAGTTGTTCAGATCCATGAAGATGTTAATATTTCTACATTGCAAATTCAGCACAAATACACACACACCACACACAAAATATATGACCAAACTCATCATCCTCACTTGAAAGTAACCGAAAAAAATTTTAAGCCACTTAGGAGATATTAGACATTGTTTAATGTCTAATTCACCTGCCTTGTTTTACAGACGTGAAAACCATTCCATGGCTAAGCCATGCATTCTCACAGGAGGTGAAATTTGGAACTGGAGAGTAGAAAAAGAAAATCTCTCTTTTTAAGTAAAATGTATATTATATACAGTACATAAACAGATACGTAGTATATTTGTGATATTAATATTTCATTGGGGATTTATTAGGAAAAACATATGTAAAAAGGCTATCCTAAAGGAGTGATAATGAGAAAAGATTGAGAAACACTAGTCTAAACTTTATGAGGGTCCAATATTCTAATGAAATATGGTGCCCATTCCAGTCTATCCCTTGAAATTACACTATAACTCTGCACACGGACTACTTGTCTTTAAGAACAAAATACTGTGTTATAATCACTCATGATTTAAAATTGATGACCAAAATATTTCTTGCAGCTTAATATCAATGGATGCTATTATTCCAGAAGTACTGTATAGAAGTAAAAAGAAAACTTGACTTTTAGCAAGCAGTCTGTTTACTCTTGAACGGGTTGGGCTCACAGGGCTCCAGGCTAGGGGTAGGGCCAGGGTCACAGCAGTTGGGATGTGAGAGACACCTACGGAGCTTGAGGGTCTTGTGACGTGAGCAGATTAAAGTAATTCTTAATCGTAAACACCTTGAATCTTCCACTATATAAAAATGAGTATATGACCTTGGGATGAGTGATAATAGTTTCAAACGAATTCTTAGACATAGAATAAATAGAATCAATTGAGAGAATAGAATCAAAATGATATAATCTTACCCAAAATGCTTGTGGTAATATATCACTATATTTTCCAATAAAGACACAAAATTAATCATAGAATCATAGAATTTCCAAAATGGAAAGAATTCTAGGGATCAGTCTAACCTCTCGGTGTACACATGGGAAAACTGGGGCCTAACAATTACAACATTAAAATTGTAACCTAGATTTTCCTTTTTATTTATTTATTTTTATTTATTTTTTTGCTTGAGGAAGAGTAGCCCTGAGCTAACATCTGTGCCCATCTTCTTCTATTTTGTGTGTGGGACGCCGCCACAGCATGGCTTGATGAGTGGTGTAGGTCCATGCCCAGGATCTGAACCTGTGAACCAGGGCCACCAAAGCAGAACATGCTGAACTTAACCACTATGCTACTGGGCTGACCCCTAGATTTTCCTTTTTAAATTCAATTCCACAGGGATGTATCAGGGATGCAATAATTGCTCAAGAGGTTGTTGGCACTCAAAAATAAGAAAATACATAGTTTAAGTGAGCCTGTGAGTTTCTTCCCTTCAAAAATAATTGCAACAATTATTTAGGGTTTTCAAATATTTGAATGTGAAAATTACAGTATTAGTTCATGATATATTGGGTTTTTTTTAGCCATATACCTGAAGATAGGGAATACACTTCCAATGGTGTTCTGGTGTTGTAAGTATTCCTGAATTCACATATGACAGAAACATAGCTACAAAAAATATGACAGCCATTATCAGGAAGCCAATTCCCTGTTTCCCGAGCATAAGCACGGTGTTTACAATTATTGAACAAAGACAGATGTTTAAAATAAGCTGAAATTTAGATTAATGAGACAATGGTTGTTAACACCTACAGCCACACAGGGAATGCTAAGATACCTATAAATAACAATAAAATATTTTTTTTTTGCATAAAAAGTCACTTACGTTAACTTGAAATTTGTAAACACTAAAAGAAAATCTTTTAAGGTGTTTATGAAAAGTATTAAAACATTTTCTTATTGATGTGTTTATGAGCAGTTTAAGAATCATTGGATCTAAGCAAGGTCGAATCTACAACTTTATTGCTGTCCTTCAATTAATGGTCAAAAAAATGGAATAAAATAGCATCATTATCGACAGCATCAAAGAAAATGACTTTCAGAGTGCTTCAACCCAAGCTAAAATGGTGGGGCTTACAGGTTGACTGGGTAAGAAAAAGGCCATATTTATACAACACAGGAGAGGTGGCACAATTTAAAAATTAAAATAGTCCTTACAGTACTTAATCATTTCTTCTTTATCATGGATTCTGATTCAATTAATTTTTCTTGGTATTGAGCAGCTAAAAGAATGTTAAAATAGCTTGCAAGAAAATTTTGCGCCATGGAGAAATTTTCTGAGAAAAAGTAATGCTAATCAGTACTATGATAAGGAAAAAAGAAAGTTAGCTATTTCTGGCTTTAAACAAGAAAAATAAACTAACTAGTTCTTTAAATACTTTCTAATCACCAGTCACTGCTCTAAAGTAGGTCACTTCCTCCTGCTAATAGCAGAGCATGTGGGATTCAAATATTTATGTATCGAAATATTAATGATTATACTTCTAAACAACAGAGACAGAAATGCTGCTACTAATTAATTCAGGTACTCTACATTACAACCCATAGCTATAAAGTATAACCCATAGCATCTAAAATTATAAAATTTTGGCTATTTTAATGATGAAGTTTTAGCATTGCTCAACATTCGTGATTCATTAATAATTTAAAAAAGCAATTTGAAACATAAAAGATATAAAACATGCTTGCTGTATTTTAAAAATAATTAACCGAGTAAATGTTTTAAATTAGAATAACTATACAATTACCAAATAAAAATTCTTCCCCAAACTATTGGTGCAAAAACTTTCATCTAATCAGGAGAGATGCTTAAATGTGAAGTCCATACAAACTAACAAATTCTCAAGAAATTTCTATCCCATCTCCCACTTTGGTCTTCTAGAGAGCAGGACAAGGGGTTCTTGAGGGTTTGTAACAACAATGCCATTTGTCATAAAGAATCATATTTTACAGTTTCACAGGGGAGTTAGGAGAAGGGAAGTAAATGGTGTGATAAGGCAGAGGGCTACGTTTGCAATTAAAAGTGTGAAATGCTCAACTCCATTATGAAGACAAATAGGAAAGTACAACTTCATTGTTGAAAACAATTTCCCTCCTATCAGTCCAAGGATTCATGTATCAATATTGTAGATGAACTGTTAATTACAAAATCAATTAAAAATTATTTCTAAAAACAGTCACGCGTCCCTGGCTCTCATGGGGGCAATTTGGGCAGAAGGTCTCATCTCAGTAGGACCTCGCCAAATCACCAAGTTGTCATCCACAAGTAAGCAAAAGCAATCTGGTTTTTCATTTTTCAGCGTGGCTGAGCCCAGCCTGAGATTGATCGTCACATATGGCCCCAGAAAACAAACTGTCAATACCTTGAATGCTGCAGAATTTGAACAAATAGCCGTCCGCCCATTCAAGCCACTCATTGCATCCCATTTAACAGATTTTATTGACAGTTTCCTTCTTGTAATTAAAGGGAAAACTACTGGCCAGCAACCAAGATAAAGTTCAAAGATAGGGTCAAAACAAAAGTAGATGGAGGGGCACGGTGTGACTGTCAATGGTACACAGCATCAGAGCACGCTATTGACACGCAGGTATCTAATGATCAGCACGTCATTAAGGAGGGATCTATCCTGAACTTTATGCAAATGCTAAAAGAGACTTAAGGCCACCATAAAGCGTCAGGAGAGGCACAAAGGGAAAAACAACAAAGAACCAACGATTTTTACTTATCAGAGGTTGCTCCCTATTTTAGTACATTTCAGTTCAAATGCAAAGACCGTCCATTCCCATAATTCTTAACCCTTACTGCATATAGGTAGTACCTTTGAGGGAAATAGTCCTTCAGCAGAATTTGACTTCTAGAGAATTCCAGAATGTCAGAAAACAGAGTGTTCTTTGTTAACCAAAATTAAAAACAACACTAAATATACTTTTCCAATTGTAAAATTTGCATTTTTTTTTTTTTTTGGTGAGGAAGATTGGCCCTAAGCTAACATCTCTTGCCAATCTTCCTCTTTTTGCTTGAGGAAGATTGGCCCCGAGCTAACATCTGTGCCAATCTTCCTCTACTTTGTATATGGGACGCTGCCACAGCATGGCTTGATAAGCAGTGTGTAGGTCCGCGCCTGGGATCCGAACTTTGGGCTGCCAAAGCAGAGGGCGCCTAACTTAACCACTATGACACCAGGCCAGCCCCCAAAATTTGCATTTTTGAGGGGAAAAAACAGTTTGTATGTATCCATAATTCACACATTTTCACTTGTGCATACTGGACAATGGAGGTAATTTTGTCCTGAGTGTGTCTGCTTACACTACTCCCATAAGAGCTTTTGCTTTGCAATGGTCCAAATGAGTAAATGTCTTAGGTGGTAAAAGTTCCACAGCTTCAAATAAGCGAAGAAAATAAAAATAATTCCCTGTAAGGTGATTTTACTTATTTCTAACTTTTCACTAGAAAGCTATAATAATTATAATTTTGCTGACTCATTCAGAATTGACAACTGGGTATAGCAAATCCCTGAAGAAGTTAAGGGAAGGAGTAAAACTGACATATTAAAAAATGTAACAACGACCACGTCAATATGCCAACCTGAATTAGCAAGTGCTATTGCTTTGAGGGTGACAAATTCTTCTTTCTCCAGCTTCATGCTCTTGTATTTCTTTACCAGCTGCAGGATAGCGTTATTTAGGTCAAGAAGGCCTGCTAATTTGGACTGGTCTTCATCCATTATATAATCGTCTGCATAGACAAGTTCATCCTCAAATGAAAGAGATCGGTATACGACACCAAGGATCAAAATTTCCATCCAAGCACTCTGCAGAAGGCTCATTTGGTCCGCCAGGGACAGCGTGGAGAAGCCTGCATGGGAAGATGGGCAGATCAAGTTACTTTAAAGCCATAACTTCACAACGCAACGTTAGTTTCACGTGGTAGTCGGCGTCGGCATCAGTGGTCAAAATTACACTTGACTCTGATTAGACGCTCTTAAATTTTCCCCTGGTCATTTTGCAAATGGCAAAGTAAAAGTCACAAACCAGCTTTCAACTTGTTGGTGTTTTCTCGAAGGTATATAGGCACAGCTGAGGAGAACAGAACAGAAAAGTAGTTTTGTTTCTTTCACTGGAGAAGAAGATACCATGTAATCTTTACATGTACTTGATTTCTGGCATGACCATCTTACAGGAAGTCAGATTTTCAACTACCTCATCTCTGAAAACTACTGTTGATAACATAAAAGAAAAGCCAAAACATAAAGAAAAACAAACAATTCAGGCTCACAGTAGAGTGCAATTTGGAAACATTTTTCCATAATACACACAAACACGGTGAAGGATGAGTATACTTACACGCCAAAGAGCCTTCTTAATTGGATATTTTGTCCCCACTGATATTTAACATGAATTCCTTTTTTAATTGGTGATTATTGGCATAAAAAAGAGTGGAAGACCTAGCAGCCTGGCCTCCTCACCAAATAGAATAGTAAGTTCCTTCTTGGTATTAAGACCCAGGTATTTAAGAAGTTAAGTGTGGAGGTGATGGCATTTGATGGACAGGATATGAGCAGAGCCAAATCCTGAATTTAAATATTGGCTCCACTTGGAGCAAGAGAATTTACTTATACTTTAATTTTTGTTTTCGAGAAATATAAAATAACATCCAGCAAAACATCAATTTATAATATGCATTCAATAAGTATAGCTATATTGTGTATTATTTTTATCTGAAGTATCTGGATGATTGCTTCAATTTTTTACTAAAAATCTGGTCTGCATTCACATGTACACGCTTAAAGTCCCTTCTGAGCTTCAGAAAACTTTTGCAAGAAAAATTAAAGAGAAAATGTGGTTCAACAGGGAAAGATGAGGTCATACAATTAAACCTACTTAGGAGTAAATATATAAATTTATATCTCAGAGGGATGAGATCTAGACTCTAAAAGGAAGTCTTAGTGAATATACCTGATGATCAGCCACATACTTTTTCCAAGAGTCCTAAAACAGAAACGTTTCTTACAACTTCACTTTCATTTCCAAGGTTATGTCCAGGAAGCCGAGGGTGACCACCCACTCATGGTTTTTGAGGACGGTGGTACCACGATTTAAGGTACTACCAGCAGTAATTCTATAGAAGGGGGAAATTTTTAATAATGCAACTTACAAAATCTATTTTTAGGGGCAGGCCTGGTGGTGTAGTGGTTAAGTTTGGGCGCTTGGCTTCGGTGGCCCAGGGTTCGTGAGTTCGTGGACCTACGCACCGCTTATCAAGCCATGCTGCGGCAGCGTCTCATATATAAAGTAGCGGAAGATTGGCACAGATGTTAGCTCAGCGACAATCTTCCTCAAGCAAAAAGAAGAGGATTGGCAACAGATGTTAGCTCAGGGCCAGTCTTCCTCACACACAAAAAAATATTTTTACTCCCCTTCTAGACGCTGTTACCCAAATCATAAATATCCACTGCTGCCCAATCTTCTTAGGCTCTTGCTTATGGTCATTGTTGTTGTTATTTCTGTCTGCGCCCAGGATCCGAACCTGCGAACCCAGGCCACTGAAGCAGAGCATGCCAAACTCAACCATTATGCCACGGGGCTGGCCCCTGTTGTTATCTTTATTCATATCAAATTGTTCATACCCCACGTGATATTAGGAACTACAGCACAATAAGAAAAAGGAAAAGATTTCTTGACCTATTGGTGAAAACTAGTAGTTTGCCATTTGGCAACATTACCTAGAATGTTTAATAAAATCATCAAAAGGGATTAGTCAAGCTTTCCTTAAGGGGGTCTCTAGGCATGTGTAAAAAGCATTTCTTTCATTGTTTATCAAGCTGCTTACATATTACTTGACAGATCTTCTTTTGGACTGACTGTGTACGTCTTTTTTCCTCTTTTTTGGGTCATTGCCATGTGGGGCTAAATTAATAAATATCCGTTTAGAACTAGAAATATAATCATTGATAGCATTTTAAACAGAGATTCAAAAGAGGAAAATAATGATCTACTATGAGCGGGTTTGGTTCCATCTGCTTTTGATTCTGAGAAGGTTATACTCACAATGAACAAACAAACAACATTGCTCTTTTTCTATTCTCCCCTCCCAAGAAAAAAAGAAGCCTCGCAAATCCAACTAACTCAAGGAAAGAGACTAAGTAGGAATTTCTTTTGTCAATTACATAGGTGAAAAAATAAATGACCACCTAGGAAGTGATGAGCAAAAAGGGATGGTATTTTCAATTTGCCATCGTTTTCTTCCTCCTTTTCAAGCTCCCAAGAGCAGTTTTTCTGCAGCAGCAGATGGACAGAGCGCGTAGCCCACAGCACCTTCCTGTGACAGCCCTATTCTCCCTCCCAGACACTGCTGTTAGTAAATAGATTTACACATTCTCCAATCTCCACACATCTTTCTGCCGAATAATTAAAAGCAGGATGATTAGTTTATTGAGTGGAAGGAGGAACTTTTTTATTGAGGTCCATCCACGATTTTATCAGGGCCAGCACTTTTACGGTTGTCAGGAGGATGCAGGCATCCAATTTTTCTTATCTGCCTGATTAATACAAACGCTGTTTCAGGACGCATTAATTAACAGATACAAATCTACGTTCTCATGGAAGGATCAATACAGAGAAGAAAAGAGGCATCAATGTGAATTTAGTGCTGATGATGGAGAAGGCACGCTATCGACATTTACGTGCACGGAAACTTTAAAGTTGCACAGAGGCCCCTTTGTCCCTGTGATTTACAAATTAACAATTTTTCAGCCATAACCATGTTTCACACATTTCTTTGGGGTTTAATTAAGCAAAAAACAATAACATTCCATTTTTTAAGGTGGATCCTGTAATTTATTTCTTCTATATCGATAGCTGTATGTGTGTGTGTATCTCCTTCCTGTAAACCTAACTTTTTCTTTTCACTTCTTAATGAAATAAAAAGAAGGAAAACAGTAAAGAAAAGGGTCTTTTTTATTTCTTTTTGGTCAGGGAGTATGGGAAGATGGATCTAGCACAAAAGGTTTGACAAGTTTGCTTCCTTGATATCCTCAAGTCCATTTCAGCTGATTAAAGGAGGTATAATTTCACAAAATGATAGGAAAAAAGACAATTCATGCTTTACACAATACAAATAAAAGTCTGGACTTTTATCTCTTTTTGGTCCAGAAATAGCTGAATCTCAATACTTTAACCCCTTCCTACCACACCTCTGCCATCTGGAAGCAACTAAGAGCTCTACTGCCCAGATGCCTGAGTAGCAAACAGCCTTGTCATGAGAGCTGTGCTCACCTGGTCACTAAGGAGGCTGAATACATAATAGAGATTATATTTTAACTGCACCAAATTCTTCTACCAGTCCTTTAGGAGTGCTAGCTATATTTTACATACATACAGACACATGGATAAAATAATATTTTTATCAGTAGACCTAAGCAAAGAATAAAAACCTAAATGACCAAGATCTAAATGAAAATGCACGTTTTAATAAACTGAGTCTAAGGAATTTGCTAAAAGCACTATTGCTTTATTGGCACACACATACTTGTATCCAAATGATAGTTACTTGTTTCTGCTTTTATCAGGCATTTAGTGTTACTTTGTAGCTAAGAGGCTGTAAGTTAGAGGTCCTCATCTATAACACTGAGCTATCTTTGGAGAGAAACCTCTTTCCCATGTGAAATAAAATATGCTTTGCAGTTGTGTCGTTTGAACTTTATGTTTTGTACATCCCGGGATCTTAATCTTTGGTGTGTGACAGGTTATAGTTTTAAATGTTCAGCCGTATTACAGCTTTTTAAAATACACTGATACCACAGCACATTTTTTTCCTTCCCTAGCTATAGTCCATTCCATGCATATCGCTGACAACTCTGATCTCTCTTCATCTCCGTCCTGGAGTCAGTGCCATTTAATGTATATCGGGCATTTTGCCAGCAGAATGGCTCTCTACCTTGACCCGCAGTTAAATAGCGTGTTTATCTGCAGTACAGTGTGCTCCAAATAAACCAGATGACAGTGGGGAATAACATCATTTGGAAGGATTGAAAAGCATCTCAAGAGGCAGGTACCCTGCAGTAATAGGCTCGAAGAAAGCATGTTTTGCGCCAACCCTCTTGCCTGCTTCTACTGGAAACTTCGGAGAATGACAGTGGTGCTGTGGGCACTTGTCAAGTACTTTTTTTTTTTTCTGAGCCTGGCAAACTGATGCACTTTGCAGTCAACTTACAAAAAAGGCTAAGCATTTGAAAGTGTGAAGGGCAAAAAATATCTGACGGCTAGTCTTCAAAAATACACTTTCATTTCAGAAAGCATAAATGTTTATTTCCCGAACGGAGTGTTGACAGAAATAGGCTGCAGTGTAGCCATTTGGGTTTAACCCCTGCCAGGCATTTTCTTCTCGGCTGCTGTTTTGAAACCGAGAGCCAGCATTTTAAATCTTCAGGGTGTCTGTTAATATCAGTTAATCATGGCATTGATTTGCCCGCTCCCAGTTTTTGAACTGTAGTTTCTCTGTTCCACTGAAAATGGACACTTTTCAACAAACAGCGTATCATGCTAGAATTGTAATTATGCCATAGTGATTCACTGAGCTCGCAAACAAAGTTCATTGAGAGAAGCTGATTGAGCAACGTGGCAGAAACTAGATTCTTTCTCTCCCATACGAATAAACCTAATGTTTATAGGAACTAGGGGAGAAAAAAATAACCACAGCATGAAGACTTGATCGTAGCTGCCAAGAGACACACAGATGCATAACTCTTGTTAGAGAGAAACTTACTCTGTATTTTTAAGCCAGTTGCTCTTTTCACATATAAGCAGACATATCATTTGCTCTATGATTCACAAAACACACAGCTCTGGGGCTGTAGT